GCAGGGCTCAGGGAGAAGGGCAGGGATTAGGACTAATTAGAAGACTAGTACAGGCATTAAGGGACAAATGACCTCAGCTTGTGATGTGAGATTGGGAAGTTCACCTCATTTGCTGTTCATGTGAGTTTTAGTGTTCGCAAAATGATTTGACTCAGTCCCTACAATAAGTTCTTTGGGATTGTAGGAAGTCGTGTTTCTAAGGGGTTAATGTTCATGTTACCCTGGTTCCACCCTTGCCACTGATATCACCCACAGTCTGGGAAGGGAGACGAGTTCTACTTTAGCTTTCAGAGAGACCGAATATATCTCAAATAGAGCTCACCACCTTTTCTAGGGCAGTTAGGACTGCCCGGATCCAGTAACTATGCCTGACTAAATGTCGTTCTTTCTGCATCATGCAATAAACCGTTGTGTTTTTTAAGCGCAGTACTTCTTCTATATCATCATAGAATTATAGAATCCCTACAGTGTGGAAACAGGCCCTTCGGCCCAACAAGTCCACACCGACCCTCAGAGCAGCCCACCTAGACCCATCCCCATCACCCACCTAATCTACACATCCCTGGACACAATGGGGCAATTTAGCATGGCCAATCCACCCTAACCTGCACATCTTTGAACTGTGGGAGGAAACCGAAGCACCCGGAGGAATTCCACGCAGACACGGGGAGAATGTGCAAACTCCATACAGACAGTCGCCCAAGGGTGGAATTGAACCCGGAATTGAATTGAGGCAACAGTGCTAACCACTGAGCCACCGTTTCTATAAATACTGTACATTAGTATATCCTCTGCTACTAATTGTGAGATAGATTGAAGACGAAGCAAAGCTCAAAGTGGATTGATGGCAATGAACTGCCTCATACAACCCTTTCCCAGTGCCATATTTTGCTAGAATTACCAAGCAAAGTCATTTGGGAAAATGCCACACTGATGTTGTTGTGTCACGATAGTCTTACCAGACCATAGCCCCACTTTTTCATTACAGAGAGATGACTGGTGCTGGTTTAGTCTGAGGGACACCATGCCTCAGGCGAGGGGAGAGGTTGAGAAGGAGAGTCCTTCATGGTAACCTCAGCCAGTGAGGAGAATTGAACCCACGTTGTTGGTATCTCAATCAACCGTACAGCCAACTGAGCTAGACTGCCACCTCAGGATATGCCGAAGAGCGTTACAACTTGTGAATTTTTGTTTTTGAAATGTATTCATTGCTGTAACGTGGGTCATGTGTGCAGCTAGCTCCCGTGAACAGCACTGTGATAATGAATAGCTGGTCCGCTTTGGAAATGCTGGTAGAGAGTGAATATTGTCCAGGTCACCGGGAATAACCTACCAGTTCTTCGTCAAAATGGTGATCGTGGGATCTTAGGCTGTAGCTGTGACCCCAGCTCAGTGTTTCATCAAATGACGGCACCTTCGATAGTGCTGCGCTCCCTCGGCCCCCCGCTCCCTCGGCCCCTCGCTCCCTCGGCCCCGTACTGGAAGGAACAGGGGATGTGTGGTTACTGAACACACTTACACGACAGGTAAGGCCACTTAGGCAAATTACACAGACTGCTTGTTCTATACTTGTCCTCAAGAGAGCAAATTGTAGAGGGAAGAGTTTTATGTTAGATACAAAAAGGAGCACTGTAAGGGCTATGATACATGGGACTAGATGCTTCTCATATTCTGACAAAATATTTTTGCTATGATGTTATCCTGTGGCAATGAAATGATGGTTTCACTGCCTCTCAAGGCAACAATTCAGAGAAGGATACATCTGGAGCAACACTTAGCAACTATCACCAGGCATTTATTGGATATAGTGCGAGACTGAATTGACAGCTGTTGATTATTTGGATCATTTTCCCTTCCCATGCAGTAATGTCTCCAAGCCCCAGAATCAAAGCCGAAAATAGTGATCAGGTCAGGCAGCCTTTTTGGAGAGAGAAATCAGACTGAAAGTTTCAGGTCGATGATTTTCTGTTCGAACTGGAAGGCGTGGATCGATGAACGCCTTCCAGTTCTAAAGGCAGCTCACAGACCCGAACCATGGACTCTCTCTGTCCTCCGTGCATAGTGCTGAGTACTTTCCAACCTTTCCCATTTTAATTTCCTGCTTTCCCAGTGATTTCTGCAGTGTTCTCCTTCCAGCAGAGAGTCGAGGGTGAGGGCGATAGAGAAATCAGTGCGGGGCAGGAATGATTAAATGAGAAAAATGATAGTAGTGAAGAGCAAAAGTAGGTGATAAGACAAGTAACATGACAAAAGATGCCTCCTGAGGAGTAAAAATGGCTTCAGCAGAACAGCACTTGTATGTATTATAGTTGATAATACAGGTTACGTTGTGACGGTGTCCCTTTGAGATGAGTCAAATGACCTTAGGTGAGTCATCAGCCAGTGCCCATGGCTTTCTTCAGACTTGCTTTGAGCTTTCCAGAGTGCACAGCTTCAGAATGAAACCTCCCTGCTGGAGGATCGAGGGAAACAATGAGTTTGCATGTTCTTTAGATCTGACTGGAGTTTAACAACTGGCCAGTACAGATAAAGCATGGGATTGTGGTTTTCTCCCTCTGTGTCATGTGAGCAAGCGATGTCAACCACAACTAGTCCTCTCGCCCTGACTGGGTCCACAAGGGTGGCACGGTAGCTCAGTGGTTAGCACTGCTGCCTCACAGCGCCAGGGGACCCGGGTTTGATTCCACCCTCAGGCAACTGTCTGTGTGGAGTTTGCACATTCTCCCAGTGTCTGCATGGGTTACCTCCGGGTGCTCCGGTTTCCTCCCACAGTCCAAAGATGTGCAGGTTAGGGTGGATTGGTCATGCTAAATTGCCCCATAGTGTCCAGGGATGTTTAGCTTAGGTGGGTTATAGGGGCTGGGTCTAGGTGGACTGCTCTGAGGGTCAGTGTGGACTTGTTGGGCCAAAGGGCCTGTTTCCACACTGTAGGGATTCTATATCCAGCTGGTCGAGTGTATTTGAGGAATACCATTGTGTAGAACAACAAGAGGGAGCCCTTGTCTGAAGCGAGATGTATGTTATTGAATGATAGCGGTCAGGTCCACGATACACTGGTGCTGTAGACATTGCTACTTCAATGGTAAATCTGTCTCCTTCAAGATCCAAAGCTTTTCTGCCTTTCCCAATCCAAGTCCTCATGATGGCTTCTGATTGGGTGGAGCTTAATGAAGCCATCGGAATTAACCCTTTCATAACCATTACCTTACGGCTGCACTTACCGAAGAGCACATTGGCAGCGATATACCTTCCTTCGATATTCTTTCGACCATGTGGGGAATTGCACCTGCCTCATTGAAGAAAAAGCTTTGGAATTGATCTCAAGGACTAACCCTCCATCTCAGTTACAATGGAGCTATCTCTGCCATGCCCATTGAGCGTTTGAATATGAATTCAACTTGCTGTTGTAACGTGTTGCCTGAGCTGCTGAGTATTTGCAGCAATGCCTGTCTCGCTAACTTGGATAAATATTCCACACTGTTGCCAGCCCCCTCCCTCACCCCCCGCCCCGTTGCCCTTTGTGGTTTCGCGTTTGTGTACCTTGCTGCGTTTGAGATAAAATGCAACTGTCTGAGGTCAGTGTTGTTTACACTGCTTTAAACTTTGGACCCTGGAATGTGGCCAGACAGGTGCCCGGGGTGTATGTCAGTGTGCTGAGAACACATCAGCAGTCTGCTGCTTCTACAAGCACTGACTGCACAGAGCTCGTGCAAGAGTCTGCCTCTTAGAACGGTCCAGTCCTTACTGCTAGGCATTGGCACTCAGATTGTACCAGGATGTGAGACACACGAGAGAAGAGAGGGGTACCAGCCCCGACATCAGGAGAGAGGTGAGAGAGGCGAGAGAGGCAGGGCAAGAACTGAAAACAAACAGCAATTCAAAATCGCGCAGGTCCGGTTTTGCTGCGAGCACAGATGACTGACTTCGTTGGAGTTCTGTAAAACTTGTTAAAGCAGGTTAAAGTCAACGGAAGAAGATTTGTAAGGTACTCGAAAAAAGTTAACTCTGTTTTTCTCTCCACAGATGAGTTTCTCCAGCAATTTCAGTTTTTGTTTAGGTTTTAAAAACTGTGTCTGAGCAAGTTAGTTGAGGCAGGTTAAAACCAGTGGTTAAAGCAACAGTTTGACATCACACATTTTGTCCCCATTATTCCATGTTATGTACTCGCATGAAAAGGTCCCAACAGCAAAGGTTCCATCTCTTGAACCTTCCACCTCCTTTAAGATATTTAGGGTCTTTGATAAAGCTTTTGATCACCTGTCTGTCCTAGGTCTGTATTTGCTAATCACCCCTGAGAGATGCAATGGGATGGTTTGCTCTTATGGTGTTTTATAAATGTAATTGGTAATGTGTACATGCTCTACATGTGAGGCCAGTGAATTCAGAAATGGTTTCTACTGCCTCCTTCAGGTGGACTGTGGGTGGTACCCTGAGTGGCAAACCATTGGACCCAGCGCTCGACATGAGGCAGGGGGTTAAATTGCATGTTGTATCCCCAGTGGTGAAAGTGAGCTGGCATTAGCAACCCTAACCCTAATCCAAACCCTGATCCTAACCGTGGCCCTAACCCTGATCCTAACGCTGGCCCTAACCCTGATCCTAACG